GCACGATTTGATAAAGAATTGACGACACAGCGTCGGTTTGAACGAACGGTACTATGGCAGCCACTATAGTCTTAGAACACAAGATAGGAAGAGTTACGAGTTGGGAATGACTCCCAGCTCCTACAAACCCCAAGAGCCGAGGTACAGTGATGTGGAACAGTGCCACACTGTCCCCAACCACGAAGGGTCTCGAAACTACCCTTCACTAGGGCCTACACCAAGTGAAATGTTACACTACACAAAGTAATGTAACTATCTTCAATATCTTGAGGTGTACCCTTTTGGCGAGCTTCGAAATCACTTGAGGCTTGACACCAAGGCTCGGGCTCTTCATCACAAACTCATCCTTGATTTCTTGATGGGTCTGCTGCACACACCTGCGACACGCCGAACGTTCGACACAGGACAAAATAGAAACCGCGCGCGACAAAATAGAAACCGCGCGCGAGACACAAACGACCGCGTAACACGCGTCTAGCGATAACTCGCTATTGACTCGACACACACACTCGACATCATGACTCAACATTCACACACAATTATAAGCATGAAATATATATTATCCCATGCCCTCATACCATTCCATACACACACACATTCACGCACACGGACAACAAGCCGAGTGCAAACCGTAGGGTTGCACCAACATCTATCACCCAGTGAGTGAGGGGGTGCATCACAACCTTCCCAACTGAGCCCACATCACCCTCACTCCCTTTCACATCCTCAACCATGAGGAACATCCCAGGGTTGGCTTTACCTTGTGCACCTGAACCTTGCACAGCGCCACCTCGTGCACGTTCACCACTTGGTGGCTTCATGCCTGGAGGCGCCCATCCCTCAGGCTGGCTGAAACACTTAAACCACGGGTGTCCAGCCTTCTTGCAGTACCAGCACGCTCCCTCCATTCAGGTACTCCCCCTGCCACCAGAGCTCCCATGCCCGTCGTTATAGTCACCTCGGCCTCTCCCTCTGCCAAATCCTCTCCCACGGCCTCGGCCTCTCCCTCCCCCTCTTCCTCTGCTGCCTCCTGCAGCTCCATACCCTTCAGCAGTTTTGTTTGGCAGCACCACCACCCGTGTGGCGCCTGTGGAAGTCCTCCTGCAGAATCTGCTGCCGTAGCCACTCAGGTGTCCACTGGTCTTGCTGAGTGTTGAGGGTGGGGATGAGGTTGTCCCGCGAGTTGTCGAGCACCGAGATGATCTTGGTGCACTGCTGCATCTGCGACACATTGCTGCCCGCCGCTGCCATCCTCGCATAGGTGTCCTTGACAATGTGTCACAAGGACCGGCTTCACATCATTGCCCGGTCGCATGGAGAGGGCAGCCAGCTCCTTCTCCAACACAATCACCATCGGCAGCGTGTTGGGCTGAATCACGTCGCACAGTAGCTTCCACGCTTTTGGTCCGTAATCATCCAACTCCACCAGATCCTTGATGTGTTGGAACATATCGTTGTTGACCGATTGAAGGATTAGGTCGTATAGCACCGCACTCTTCTCAATCCACCGATCGCGGGCATCTCCTTCCTCAGGCATCTTCTCTTCACCCATCGCAAGTTTCAGCAGCTTGTAGCGCTTGAATGCACTCCGCATCCGCCCGCTCCATTCCTCATAGTTGGAGCCATCCAATGCCTCGATCTTGGATGTTGGCGGCTCATTCCTCTTCTCAGCTGCATTTCCACTCCCTTGACTCATTTCTTCTGCTCCTAATCACAGGTTTCAGCTCCGCCCTTGCTGTCCACACCGAAGTCCCACAATAGTTTCACAAGTGTCGGCGCCAACGAAATTTCGGCAGAGTTTTCCCTTAGCAGAAGTCACATGCAACCTCCAGAACTCCACTTAGGCACGCCCACAGGCCATGGTGGGTCTAGGAGGGTCTTCACACTTCAGTAGACTCTTCACAAAGTCCTTAATCAGCTCTGATACCACTTTTTAGAGACTAAGGACGGAGTCTATGAAGATTAAGGGCCGAAATATCTCAAAATCGTCAACTATAATTCTGGACAGAAAAGTCGTCGTCACAAGAAACGTCGTCGACGATTAACGCACAGTTAGAATTCTCTCAAACTCGAGTATTTTGTAGCCCTTGACCATGGCTATCTTTCCCAATTTGAATATTATCAAAATATGGAGTGTAACTCGAGTTATGAACTTCGGCGCACTAGGGGGTATGCTGCCATAGAAAACTTAACTCAATCACAAAGTTGTCTCACAAGTTCACACAATAAAGTTGAAGTAGCAATTGAACCAGGTAGGAGGGGATGAGGAGGACGAGAGGGAAGGTCCCAAGGGACTCCCCAACCAAGGAAACCCCATACCACACAATTCCCCTCTCTATATGCACCCCAACTTTGACATTTGTCACTTTGCCAACTCATGCCATCCACCTCACCCAACTTGGCCACACTTGCCAACCTGGTTTGGCTTCTCCCAACCACTTGGCATCATCTACAGTGATGGTGACGAATTTCCCAACCCCCAAAAGTCTGTACCCCATATTGAGTCAACCCGCTTATTCCTATAGTCACCGCATCTCAATCAAAACTTCGAACGATCATATCTTTCTCGTTCTTGCTTCGATCTCAGCGATTCTCAGTTCGTCGGGAAGCTCTTGAGCAGAAGAGTCACTTCAGATATCCGCTCAAGCCAAATAATATTCAGACACACTCAGAAAATCAAAACAACACCAAACACAAATTCTTGCACACGCTCACACCACGCATGCAACACACGAACATATGATAGGAGGCAGACAGACGTGAATGCAAATGATAGCATCACATAACAACAAGGCAGGTAACCCATAAGTTGCGCGAATGTTCTGTGCATCGGGAACTGTCGGGAATGGAACCTTCGCAAATCCGGTAGAAGAAATTCGGCCGAAATCACACGTACGCAAAGTCACGTGGCAATAACTGAAATTCCACAGAATTCGGTGCACACAACTTAAATCGGTGCTATAACTATAATAAATCTAGGAAAGCAACTACTCTAAGAAAGCAAGCATAAGAAAATAGAAATAAGCAAGACATTGCAAGTATGGGTAAGCGTAGCTGCTGTACCCTCACAAGACGCATCTACCTGGGGGGACACAGTTACCTGGGGGGACGTAGTGAGGAGAACAAAGAGATTTGGGTGGGGCTCCCTGGTAAACAAGGCAAGAAGTGCCCCGGTGGAAGCATCCGTAAAGATCACAGTCCTCCCATGCGGAGGAAAAGTGACTCTGATCTCACGGTCCTGAAGGTATCCCACACCCACCAAGTTCCAAGAGAATAAGGGGAACCACGGGAGCGTGGTAGAACTGCGAGCGACTGCTGAACCTGAAGAAGGATCAGCCAAGGCAAATGAGACAGGAGTAGGAAGAGGTGTGATAGCGGTGTGGTCGCGGAAGAAGCAGTGAGACGTGCTTGAGTCCAGTGTGAAGGAGAGTGACATGTCAGCAGTCGCCACAGCTGGACTAATAACTAGGCAAGCACCTACACTAGAAAAACAAACACTTACACTAGCAACAGGCAATCTCCTAAGCTAGGTACACGCAAGCCAAGAGATCCATACGTGATAGAATATATAGCATCTATAGGCATATCAAACACAGAATAACCACTATGAGACAAATCAGGTTAATCGAGTCAGGCCCATCAACGCTCACGGTAAAGGTCGCCGGGGCGATTGTAGCAGCGCAATGTAGAGTGGCCAGGACGCCAGCAGGTAGTGCAAGCACTAGGGTCAGTCAGGATCCGGTACTAGTAGGGTCTGACATCGCTGTCACCACGACTAGCCCACCAGCTATCTAGGTCGACGCTCCCCGGACCATTGCTGCTGAGGGCGCCTTTGCTGCTGCAGTCTTTATTGGATGCCATGGTAAAAGCTAGCTGGGCGTAGGAGTGGCAGGCCAGGAACAGCTGGCGCGAGGAATGGCTGGAGTTAGAGACGGCTGGAGATAGGAATGAGAACTCGTGCGCAGTGGGCGCATGAGCAACCAACACTCCGTGCTGAAGCGGACGGTGTGTCGGCCTCTCCTTGACCCGGGAACAACGAATGCGACGGCAACCTCGTCGACGACGGGGGAACGAGGGTGACGTATGGAGTGATTTGGGCCGCCGACGTCGGCGGGATGCATGCGCAATGGTCGCGGTGACGTCGACGGACTACGAAGGGAAAATGGGGTTTCCTTACATTCAGTGAAATTGTAAGGAAAATTCATTTTCCTTTCTTCAGGCCCCTGCTTACCGCGTACAAGACTATTCCCGCCATCGGCACCCAACAGTGAAACATTACCCGCTCGCGACACTCGCCTCGACTACGACTCATAGTTCAGTTGGTAACCTGCGCTCCGGACCTCCTCCTCGACATATCCCAACCTCGGCGCTAGGCCTGTAGTGTTACGAGACTAACTTAACTTAGGAACCGGGTTTAGCTAGGGCCTGGGCTTAGGAGCCTAGGCCACGATTGTCGAGTGGTTTGTGCCAAGGAGAAATGTCGAGAATGTGTGTTGTTCACTATAGCACACAAGGTACATATAGCAAACTAGCAGGGGTGCACCACCAATAGTATGTATATCAAACTACAGCTACAGCTACAGGCACTTATAGATAGATATATATAATATATCACGACACACCCCCTAAGTGCCTGCGGTGCATAGCAATAGCAAGTCACTGAGGGGTGGAAAAAGCATGGGAAACAACATCACATATCAGCCATGATAAATGCAACGACGGCAGGTGCAGGACCCAGAGGTGGGCGTGAGAGCAGGTGCCGTGGCTACAACGAGTAGCAGGACAGCACCGCTCACCACCTCCGGGGGCGTGCCTGCTACAGGCAGCAGTTGCAGTGATGGCAGATAGAGCCACAGTGACCTCAGCCACGGCAGATGCAGCAGCGACAGGTGCAGGACCCGGCAGGTGGGCGTGAGAGCAGGCGCTGTGGCTGTAACGGACAGCAGGACAGCACCGCTCACCACCTCCGGGGGCGTGCCTGCTACAGGCAACGGCTGCAAATGCCTGACTTGCTTCTGCCACCCCCTTACTCGCCCACTCAACCTCTCTGGTGCAGGCGGCTGGCGCTGGTACTGGTGCCTAGTGCTGGCGGCTGGCGCTGGTGCCTGGTGCTGGCGGCATGGCGTTGGAGCTGGTGCTGGTGCTGGCGGCTGGTGCTGGTACTGGTGCCTGGTGCTGGCGGCTGGTGCTGGTGCCTGGTGCTGGCGTGATGGTGCTGGAGCTGGTGATGGTGCTGGCGGCTGGCGCTGGTGCTGGTGCTGGCGGCTGGCGCTGGCGGGGTCCCTGCTGGCAATGTAGCTGCTGGCGGGGTCTCTGCTGGCGGTGTCGCTGCTGGCGGGGTCTCTGTTGGCGGGGTCTCTGCTGGCGGGGTCTCAGCTGGCGGGGTCTCTGCTGGCGGGGTCTCTGCTGGCGGTGTCGCTGCTGGCGGGGTCTCTGCTGGCGGTGACGCTGCTGGCGGTGGCACTGCTGGCGGAGTCGCTGCTGGCGGTTCTGCGTGTTCGCTTGCTGGCAAGCTTGTGGATCGCGTACGATCTGGAGCGTGCAGTGGCGGAGCAGTAGCTTCTCCCGCCATTCCCGCCATTCCCGCCACTCCCTTCACAGCAGCTGTGAAGTCGACAGGAGGGCGGGCGGGGACGGAACAGGACGGGACGAAATGCGGGCTGGCGCTGATGCTCAAGTGACAGCCGCCACCCCTTTCCCCTTCTCCTCTCCCCCCCCACTCCGAACGTCGATGTTTCCACGCCAGGGAGCCGCGACAAGGCAGCGTGACGGGGAAGGGCGACGGGGAACGCAGTGGCGGGTTGAGGGGCCGACGGGGGGGAAGAGCGGAGGCGCGAAATAGCGGGTCGACGAGCGGTGTCACTCCTATCGCGACCATTGCGTCTATCACGACTACGGTGACAGATTTTGCTACTGGCAAGCGACGGGGAAGGATGGACGGAGCTGCGATTTGCTGCTTCACGGGACGCGCCATCACGAAAGCTAACGGTGGGCCCTTAGTAAATTAGGTCAGGAACGACCTAGCTCAATACCATGTTACAAGACTAACTTAACCTAGGAACCGGTTTTAGCTAGGGCCTGGGCTTAGGAGCCTAGGCCACAAGTGTCGAGTGGTTTGTGCCAAGGAGAAATGTCGAGAATGTGTGTTGTTCACTATAGCACACAAGGTACATATAGCAAACTAGCAATGGTGCACCACCAACAGAATCTATAACAAACTGCAGCTACAGCTACAGGAACTTATAGATAGATATATTTAGTATACCACGACACGTAGCGCACCCCAATTCCTCGCGTTACCGTTACTACTCTAGTTTGCTATATATTCTTCGCGCATGCCTTCGCTCATTGTATTGTTTTAGCTTCAATAGTGCAATTCTCTCTCGCTCGCTCAATTGCACTCGTAACACTTGGTATTCAGAGCCTATGATCTCCTCTCGGACCGCACCCACACCTTTACTTCCCCATTATCTCAATTTTGGGGGGGGGGGTTAGACGTCTCTCAGCGAACAAGCACCGCCGCTCGAAGTGCTCTCCCATAAGCACGCACGGCCACGACAAAGGCTCTCGCTGAGCTTGCCGGACACCCCCGCTTGTCAAAAAACTGAACGAGGATGAATGCATAGAGAAGAAAGTTGGTACAAGTACTAACCCTAATTGGGTTGTACCCCTTATGGGCTACCCCCCACTACAGCCTATACAACTTAAACATTATAATAGTTTGACACACCCCCATAGGCAAAGTGGGGGAGAACAAGTGGTCACAAGACCAGTCAAGAAAAGCAAAGCAAGCTTACGGTGGATCACGAAGTCACGACACACTCTGAACACAAGCAAATGGCCACAAAGCCAGTTCACATGCAGAGTTATATAAATGAGAACAAGTAGTACAGTGATTACAACCTAGCAAGTGTAAGCATGCAGGTATCTAAATATATCACAGTACAAGCAAAGTCACGCAGTTAGCAAGTGAGACGAAGTAGGCAGAAGTCCTAAAGCAGTACAGAAACGCTGATGATCACCAGACTGAAGTGCCTTGGTGAATATATCAGCAGTGTTGGCCCGAGTTGCCATGTAAGCAAGAAGAAGCTGACCACGCTGCTGCAACTCTCGAGCAAGGAACGCAGAGCGATGTGTTTCGTTCTGTGCTCCATTCTGTGCTCCCGAGACAAGGCAATCATGGCCTTGTTGTCTACGTACAGAACTGAAGGAGAACGAGACCGCTCTCCCAAGTAAGTCAGCAGGTAGGTGAGCCAGCGTAACTCCTGTGCAGCCATGGTCCCTGCGTAGATCTCAGCCTCACAACTGGAACTGAGAACAAAAGATGAGCGGGTAGACCGCCAAGAAACAAAGCCGGAGCCAAGGCTGAAGGTGTAGTGAGGACAACTGGATCCTGTCCTCCAAAGACGAGCCCCATGCCCGATGTACTGCACAAGTAGCGCAACACCCTCTTAGCGGCCTCCCAGTGCTCTGGTCTGTGTCTCCCGGGCGCAAAGTAGCGTGCCAAGATGCTAAGAGGGTAGGCAAGGTCAGGTCGAGTGCAGGTCATCAGGTACATGAGACAGCCCACAAGCTCTGGATACGAGCCACTCGGCTCTACGGTCTCGTCCGAAGGTGGAGCTGAGAGCGAGTGGCCGGTAGGCAGAGGAGTGGACTGTGACGAGGAGAACCGGAAGCCGAAGCACTGAAGGACCTAGTGCACCATGTGTGACTGAGTCAGGGTGATGGTGCGCCGTGCTCTGTCCCGGGTGATCTACAAGCCAAGATAGCTGCGCAGCTCACCCAAGTCTGTGCATGTGTGTCTCTTCTACAGCTCCGACTTCACAAGGGCCAGTGCCTCAGTGTCAGCAGTGGCAAAAACCAAGTCGTCGACGTACATGAGGATGTAGAACGGCGGCAGCGAAGTGTCGATGCGCAGAAACAGCGATGGGTCAGCAGTGGAAGGAGCAAACCCAAGAGCCGCAAGTGTCGTCCTCAGTGTGTCATGCCACTCACGAGGCGCCTGGCAGAGACCGTAGACTGGCCGCCGGAGGCTCCACTGGGTACCTGCAGGAAATGACCCAGTGAAGCCAGGTGGGCGGCGCAGCCAGATCTCCTCGTGCAGGCTGCCCTGTAAGAAAGCTGTGCTGAAGTCAAGAGATTCAAGCTCGTAGTCACGGTGAGCGGCAATGTGCAGCAGAACCCAAAGAGTGGTCATCTTTAAGGTAGGGGAGAGGTCTGGAAGAATTCAACTCCCTGTCGCTCACTAAAGCCTCGTGCAACGTAACGAGCCTTGAAGACAGGCGGAGAACCCGGCGGCCGCTTCACCCTGAAAATCCACATGCCATTTATTATGTTCGCTCCAGGTAGGGGGACTGCGTCGACGTACGTGCATGTGGACTTCGAGGATGCCATCTCTGTGTCCATGGCTCTCTCCCACCGAGAGGAGTAGGGACCCGTAATCGCCTTTGCATAAGAGCGTGGGGTCGGGATGTCTGGTGCATTTGGGTCTCCCTCAAGTGCAAGCAGCATGGCCACGAGATGAAGTACAGCAGCTGCAAGACACTCAAAGTCGTCCTGCCTGTCCTCAAGGACGTCTGTGCTAAGAGCACACTCACCCTTGACGGACGGAGGACAGTCAGAATCAGACTCAGCAACAAGACTAGCGGCGTAGTCGAGACGACTCGCAGCAGCAAAGTCAACAAGCTTAGCAACTAGGGCAGACGCAGCAATGGACTCAAAGGAAGGGTTGGTGACAACACTGGCTAGGAGACATATGACAGTAGGGCTAGCAGCATGAACCAAGTCGGACTCAGGGTCCAGAACGTCAAAAAGAGGGGACGCCGGAGGAGACGGCAGGGGAACTCGTAGTGGAACAAAGGAAGAACGAAGTGCCACACCGTAAGTGCCGGGGACAGGAGGAGGATGCTGACAAGGAACACGTCGACCAGTGAGAACAGCGCAAACAGGCGAGGCAAGAAGAGACTCAGGTGCACGACGCTCTGTAAGAGAGTCTATCTGCTCAGTGTAAGGAGAAGGAGCAGGCAGTGGGGAGTCTGGCTGTAACTGTGGCTGCGACAGGTCTGGCGGTGGACACAGTAGAGGTGGAATAAGGCCAATAGAAGACGGGAGACTAAGAAACGGGCGAAGCAGTGGAACGAAAAACGGTCGCGGCCGTACAGTGCCTCCAGCACCAGTACCGACAGCTCCAGCACCCTCAGGGACAGCACCACCAGATCCAGGGTCTCTAGCTACAGGGTCTCCAGCTCCAGCGCCTGCTGCACCACCAGCTCCAGCAGCTCCAGTACCTCCAATACGAGCACCTCCGGGACCAGCGGCTCCAGCACCTCCGGCACCTCCAGCACCTCGAGTACCAGCAATACGAGCACCTCCGGAACCTCCAGCACCTCCGGCACCTCCAGCACCTCCAGTACGAGCACCTCCGGGACCGGCGGCTCTAGTACCTAGAGACCGAGCACCTCCAGGACCAGCAGCTCCAGCACCTCCGGTACCTCCAACTCCAGCGCCTCCAGCTCCAGGGTCTCTAGCTCCAGCGCCTGCAGTACCACCAGCTCCAGCAGCTCCAGTACCTCCAGCACGAGCACCTCCGGGACCAGCAGCTCTAGCACCTCCAGAAACAGCAGCTCCAGTGCCTCTAGCGGCAGCCTCCCCAGCTCTAGCAGTGCCACTCCGAAGGTGGGTGCGTCGAGCAAACCACTCGCGCAGCTGCGGTGGAGAGAGAGGCTCCCGCCGTGACGAGGCACCCGTAGGACCTCCAACAGACACCCACTCCCAGGCACACGAGTCTGGTGCGACAGGAGGCGACACGAGCAGGGGGCAGCTACCGGACCTGACGCGGACACCTGTTAAGACGCAGCTACCTGAGGAGGCTCAGTAGTCAGTGTGTATAGACTCGACTTAGGCTGACGGGTGAATGTGGCCAGCTGACGGTCTGTCCGTGTACACGTGCAGATCGACACACGCTGACCCCCAGGAGTGGTGGTAGTGATCATCGCATCCTGGAGGGCAGCGGTACTAACCAAGTTCGCAGAGAACGAGGGAGGTGAAGACCTGAGAGTGAGCCGAACGGAACCGCCGGACACGGGAGAAAGGTGGAGGAACGGGCAAGAACTGGGCCCCCTGAGGGGTCAGCCAGTCTGACTGCAACAGGTGCAGGGAGTGGTGTGACTGTGGTACTGTCGCAAAAGAAAGAGCAGGAAGCACTTGAGTCAAGTGTGAAGGTGTGCAAGGCCTCAACAGGTGCAGTACGAGGGAGATCAGACTCACTAGCACCTAGAGCAGCAGCCTCTATACCTGCGTCGGGCGGCACACACAGGTAACAGTCACCCTCAGCACTAACAGACAAAGCATACATGGCAGCAAGGATAGCGTCATAGTTAAGAGCAAAGATATCCACACCCTGCCTAAGTAGCTCTAGCCAGCGGGGGAGCTCAGTCACGTTGGGAATCTCTGCACGCCAGGCGTCGTCAAGACGGGAGAAGTAGCGGGACTGTGTGTGACCAACCTTCCCGCATGTCTGACCAGCACGGTCACCTGTGCGAATGACGTACTGGCTGGAA